AAAAGTGCCCCGTTGTTAGGACCGGAGAGTTCGGCACAGCAGTACTGTTTATACGTCTGTTTTCTTGCTCCCCCTACCCCCCCCCCCAAAAAACCATCACAACCTACTTGTACATGAGATGATAGTTCGGAATTTGGTCAACTTGCTTCCTTTATGCCAGTTCCGTGAAATTATTGGTTCGACAATTAGTGTGAAAGATTCATTATCAACATCTGAAATAACTATTATAATGTATATCCAAAATAACACTTGAGTGGGGGGGGGGGGGGGTAGACTGATGAAATGCTCACATTCCATTTACGCAATATATAGGTTCATCTCATACCGTTGTATTTTACGAAGGAGGAGTGCACAACGGATGGGGTGGGGGTGGCAGGGGAGGGGCGAAGGGGGGGGGGAGAGAGAGAGAAAGAAGAAGCACTACAGGCCGACTTACTTCAGTATTACAAACTCAAAGTTTGGCATGAGAAATGTAATAGTGTAATGTTTCACTCATTAATGTTAATGAGTTGGGGTTTGAGCATGCGCACTGAAGAGCGTTCAATAAAACACTTGAAATGCTAGCAAGTATATGCGTCATGGCTCATTTATTGTCCGGAATATTACAAAAAGCATCTGTGGAATTCACCAGAACAAAAGTCACGTCGTCTCTTTTTTTGTCATAAAACAATTTACTCTTGACCAAATTATACTAAAATTACCGAATTAAAAATAAAGCAGGTAGTCCTGTTTTCCATGCGTCGTTTTTGTGGGGTGAACTTGTTTTTAGCGTCAGTATTTTAATTCTCACATTTTCACCGAAATCTCGATCGACACATAAAGTTTGACAAAACTAGCAAAAATTAAGATTATTCACGATAACTTTAGAACTGCCTATGCTAATTATTTTCGTTAAATGTTTGGAACCATAATGCCAGTTATTCGTATAACCGGTGCTGTTGGAGATTATTATTTAAGTCCAATGGCCTGTACACAGAATCTTGATTAGCTTCATCTCTAAAATAACGTAAATTTACAGCAAGTTTGCGTGTAGGATTGAAATTACTAAACGTATTTTTTAGTGGGAGTAAAATCAGAGATCATGAGAGCTGCGATCCCCTCCTCAAACTGTATAGGAGGATCAAAACTGACTCCTGAGTATAATTGAAAGTTTAATCACATGACACATTACTCAAATTTGAAATTCTGACTGAAGAAACAACTTTCAGTCAATTTCAAAATAGTCTGTTTGATGTGTAGTTTCATCATTGTAAAAAGTCTCCACATTGAGTGTTCATCTAACTTAAGACCCTGTAACTTTCGATCCTGTCTGCATCGTACACTGTAAACACGTTGGGCAAAGTGGGTCGATATGTAGACCAACGTTGGCCAACATATCAACAGGTTAAACTCTAGGGCGAATTTTTCCCAATTATTTAGAAAATTAGAAAATATTTACCCAAATTTAGTAATTTCAAACCAATGTTGGGTAAAATTATATTGCCCAACAGTGTTTTACCCATTATTTTATACAGTGTAGGAGAGAATCAGGCGAAGTACAATCCATAGACCATGGCGACAGCATACAGAGACCCGTTAGTGAAGTGAGCGGTAGTCGAGGAGTCAGTGCGGTCATCCCACAGACATCGGCTGCCGAGGTGCGTCCCAGGTTTCTCCCTCACGCTCCCGATGCTGACCATGGCGACAAGCTTGTAACGGGGGAAGTTGAGCTCCCGGACCCGCTGGTTGATCTTACCGGCAAGGTCTTGAGAAAGCTGCTTGCAGCGGACTGGGTCGTAAATCTCCTCCTGAAGATGAGACGACAGGATGTCCTCTACAAGCCTACCGACTTCGAGCTCGCGGAACTTGCGGGGTCCAGGCCCGTCCATACGGAAGGACGGCTCGAAGGCTGGTGGGCTGCTAGCCCGTAGGTCCTCATCGCCACCTTCTTGTAGAGCAAGAGCCAAGAGACCTCCTGTGTTCGGCTCCATCTGGCTCGCAGTTTTCACAGACATTTCTAGAGTTTCTTCTCTTGAACACGTTTCAGTTGAAAAGGCAAGACTTGCACCGAGGAATTGTGAAGCAGAGGCCTAGCCTATGCCCTTCTTGTCAGTAGAAATGAGTTCATCAAAAGAAGTTTCGATGAGGCATCAATATTGGTGGTAAAGCAAAGCCAATATCCGAAATCGCCAAAAGTCATTCAAACTCCTTCTTGTATACATCGAATGTTCCCAAGATCAAAAGGAACTGATGATGAATAAGTATATCCTGCACGATGATAAGCCTTCCCCTGTCTTCTCTTCAGATGAGAGAAAGACAGTCACAGCATCTTACATCGAATCAAGATCCTTACTGCGATGTATCTTCCCTCCTCTTTGCCTTTATAATGCAAACAAAAAAGTTTCTGTTGATGTTTCGTCTCTAACATTCATCAGGAAAGTAATCATCGCTCCCTGCCAACAGTGTATCATAAAAACACTCAATGCCATCATCAGCCCGCCCTCTAACACAAGAAAGCATCAATATGGGTTTAGCCACCCATGTTTAACCAGTATGTTGATTGAGAACACACGGTCTTTAACCGCCTTGTGTCTTCTTCTCTTTGTATCCTCCGGCTACTGTTTAATTTGCACATCATGATGTTTGGCTTGGAGTTAGTCTCTGACAAAGGGATACTTTTTGGCAAACAAGTGAGAGATTTCATGACTATTTTATGGACCTTTAGTCTGCGCCCAGGGTAGAAAGCTGAGGGCGTGATCACCAAATTTAGAGGGAATAATACCAATATAACACCAATTTGAAATTTTATAGGAATCCTTGATGCAAACAAACTTTCATCCCAGTACAATATACCTATTCAAAATTCATGTCAGTGACATCGCTCTTTATAAGTCATTCATATTTTCGAGTAAGCCACATAAAAGGACAAAACTATGTCTAGCCCTAAGAAATTTCAACTGATAAAATACCGTTCATCCCCAAATATTAAAAGCCAATTGGAAGTTTTTTAATGGTTTTTCTGCAATCGTACAGTCAAACGCTCACAGCTGGGGTGTTCAGAGCACAAGACATTATTCACAAGTACAGATATACAAGGTACTTGTGGAGCAAAATGTCTTCCTGAAGGACAAACGAAGAATGAATTATAGCATTATTGCTGATTTGAGGTCCGCAGTCAGAAATAACGGTCAGAATATGGAGAGGGATTTTGCAATTTCCCGGTCGTGATGGTGTAACTTAAAAAAAATACCGAACATTTAGTGAATTTCGTTCACATTGACACAGCTAACTTGCCTTAATTCAAACGAGTTGCGAGATCGTCATTTGCATTTACTATGTTGGACCTCCAAGAGATATAGGTTTTTACCAATACCCCTATTAGAATTGCTTCTCCCTCCCCCCCCCCCTCCCTCCGTTTCTTCTAGTGGGGCCAGAAAAATATTTTCTTAAAATCTGTCCATCAAACTGGACCTACCTCCTCCTATTGTTTGCAACAATTGCATGTTTTCCCGTCGACGTGTCTGAGGTATGTCCAGGTCCATTAGGGCAGTTTGCCCAGGTAGGCCTACATTCCACAACGATCCACCAACTTTGTTTTGCCAAGTGGCGATGACAGCAAAAAACCAACACGGGCGAGTGTGGGAGAAAGGTAAACAGGCTATGAGGGGGTCCGTTTGATTGGGTTAAGGGGGTGATGAGTCTGCAGAAGAATGGAGGGGGGGGGGGTTGAGGGAGGAGAGGAGGAAAACTAGCTAAGGGCTAGTTTGTGAATCGGAGAGGGGTTGGGTTTGTGCCAGGGGTGCGACTTCGAGTGTCGGTACAAATACTTACAACTTTTAGCTTTAAATATTTTACGGGCGGTGGCGTAATAACGTCCAATTTGCAGGCGGGGGGGGGGGGGGGAGGACTCAATGCGTTTTTAACAATAAAAAACTCATTCTTGCCTTCCCCAGATTTTGATTTTTTTTACGGGGGGGGGGGGGAACAGGTCTCGATTGGGGGGGGGGGGTACGCTCCCCCATCTGCCTCTTAATTATTGTTGAAACATAATTGCAACGATTTGTGCATTAAATATTAAAGTGCCCATCGTCATGTACAATAAAAAACATAAAAATGTAGACAGCATAGACGTTGTTGCCTTTCAAATTTGAAAACCACCAATAATTACCAACAGTTGGCATGGTCATCGCAATTAAGAGACAACAGGTTCCGACCAACAACAAACATGAACGCACCACACACAGTGCTTCTTTTACCATCAATGCACGACACATTGTTTATTTGCCATCATGATAAATAATGATATACCAGCGAAGACGTTACAGTTTGTTAAACACTTAAACTTTGACAAACACATTATGGATCGAGCATTCATAGTGTGATTTTCATAACAGATGGAGTTATATCATATTCATACTAAAATGCGACCCTGCACATTAATTTTAAGGTTCTCAGGATCACTATTTTGGGGAAAGCATAGGCTACATCCATTCATACAATTTCATTTGTCATTAAATCTCAGATCATGTTCTGGCGGTATACACTATTCTCTGAATTCGCATGTACACCAAAAAGTGCCCAAGAATATTGCAATGAAACAGAAATCATCAGTTTCTGCTTCCAATAACATCTCTGAGTAGTCCCAAAATAATCCCATCTTGGGACCTGTGTAATCCACTCTTCCAAGTCTTCCCACTTTTTCAAAAGTCAGATTCATAATGAATCGCCAAAAAGCATTAAATATGCGCGATATTGGAGAGTGAACTTTGCACGGCGAGAGCATCCGCATTAACGTTTGCGCGCCAAATCCTCCCGGGGAGGGGGGGGGGGACGCGCGCGCAAATGGTTGAGAAACGCAAGTTTCTCAACCAATCAGATTAAAGGACACTCGGTCGCGCGGATGAATATTCCCAGCCAAATCTCAGGAGTACGGTGTCCTACGCTCGCCACTGTATTTATGGCGCCACTGTATTTAACTGTATTTTAACTAAAAAAAAACCCCACGGATCCCACATATGACTTTCAAATAGCCCCCAAAATATTCTTATCTCAAGAAACAATCGAATCGAAATTGAGTGTTTGAATGTACAGTGGCAGCCCTGCGGAATAACAACGGAATAAATTATACAGACTGTGTAGGCTTGCAAATCTCGCGGTGACTGCGCTTAAATAAGGCCAAGTACTTATTATTTCAAGACAAGTGGATAAATGCCATCTTGACATTACTCCTGTATTCCCTACAGAGAAGAAGTTTAACCTTTTATATATACTTTTAAAGTCTATATGCTGAATAAAATAAACCCCACGTGCATTTTGTTAAACTGCAAGTTACTGTTTTACCATCACATATAAGTACACACAATTAATCTGTTCTCCGCCAACCCATTCAAATACAATATAAGTTTACTTCTTGCATAAATGAATAAATTTCACAGGCGATAATATCGAAACTGCATTGCCTTAATGTTTTTCGCGGAAAGCCCGTTCCTACTTTTCATTTGTTACATCCAGTACGTGTTTATAGTGCACACCAAGGACACAGAATAAAAGAATTTCAAAGAGGACATAATACAATAGGTCCCCGGTTGGCTACAAAATGTCCCCGGTTGGCTACACAATGTCCCCGGTTGGCTACACAATGTCCCCGGTTTGCTACATAATGTCCCCGGTTGGCTACATAATGTCCCCGGTTGGAGACATAATGTCCCCGGTTGGCTACAAAATGTCCCCGGTTTTCAAATGGAGAATGGGAGGAGTTGCAAAAGTGTAAAATACTAACGAAATAACTCATAGAAAAGACGATGGAAGCTCTTCTGTGTGCACAACAAACAAAGCTGTGACGTGTGTGCGGGCGATAATGAGATCGACCTTATGAAAAACAGAAGACTTAGAATAAAAATGATTGAAGAAGGTCAATTTCAAACATGTTTTCGAGACAGGAACATGAACAACAATCCCCTTGATGACGTAAGCATTAGAACTATAATACGTCACCTCAACAGGTATGTTAAATAAATTTAAAGTGTTCAAGTGCAATGACATTCAACAACACACCACTGCACCTTGCAACCAAATATAAATTATTGGAAAACACTATGGCGTTTCCCAATAAATATGTTTATGGGAATTTTAAAGGATTGGCCAATCCTTTAAATTCCCATAAACATATTTAAACAATAGCACATTAAAAAATAAGACACATATAAAAAGCAAAAAACAAAAACCAAAACCCCAAAAAAACATACTTTACAACACTTAAAAATGATAAATAGTGATGAAACACAAACAATTCACAAGGGTCTCACTAATACCAAGGTAATAGACGATGCCCAAGGAACACAGAAACACTGAACAAGCAATATCATGAACAAACATATACCTTTAAGACGAAACAATTAACTAAACGAAGACACAATTTGAAACGACTGTCAAGTACAAACCACCAAAAAAAAAGAGAAGAAAACAAAACAGACAAAAAACCATAAAAGGACATTACACATAACATGAACATTCAAAAAAGATTATTCCGAATACATATAATCTCATTCAACATCTGGCCATTGTCCCAAGACCCCCCCCCAAAAAAAAAATTCATCTCCAACAAAATCTTCGTGACCTGCTTCTCCAACTGAGGTCATGTTAACATTTTCATTCAAAAACATTCGAAATCTTGATTTCTGTCGTTCGTCAGTCCCAATTATTTTACACATATATCGATCTATCTATATATAGATTCATGTCATCTTCAGCCAAAATAAAATAAATTCGCACCTTGTGCAAATTTGTCAATTACTGTACACTGATTTAATATTTACATTCCACATTTTTGCTAACAAAATAATCACAATGCCGTTTTTCTCAAAGCGACGTTAGTCTGAAACCAGGTTCATAACAAACAATAAAATAACAGTCACAAAATGAGACCACTCAGATACACTATTTACAAATCTTTATAGCACCATTGTTGTCTTCGAGGATACTGAAGATGTGTCGATGACGTCATCCTTCGTAAACCAATCAATTCACGAGTTCCTAGCGTCAAGACCAATGAAGGTAGACACATGGGAACGTGTTTGTTGACTAGGAGGCAGGCTCTGAGACAGTTCGAGGTTGTCATTGAGTCTTAAGAGCTCATAAACTTGGGCAGGTTTGCCGCCTCTGAAACACTTTAGTGCTGTGTTGTGTAGTGAACACTGGTTCCTCATCAATCACTGTCTCCTCCTTGATGCTCGTCTTAGAGTGTCCATACAGAACGCTGACTGCTCTCCGGATGTTCCAGCCCTTCTTAACCTTCAACCTCCGCAGCTCACCCTGCGCCTCACGGACAAAATCCAAGATGGTGGCTTTCAGACCGACGCTGTCTGTGGCCGCTGACACTTCATGGAACCTCCAGCCAGCCTCCCGGGCTAGGGAGAAGCCCTCTTTGGTGGACACTCTCCGGCCTTGCTCCAGCTCGCGTTTGTTGCCGACCAGGAGGATGGGCAGATGAGATTTGAGGGAGGATTGGAGCCTCTCCCGAAAGATTTTAGCGGCGTCAAAGCTGACCCTGTCTGTAATGGAATACACGAAGAGCACGGCGTCTGCTGCTTGGAGATAATCCTCCAAATGTGTCTGAGGAAAGACGAAATAAACCAAAAAAAATGATACAAGAAGGTAGTTTCAAACCTATTTTTGTCACACACAGAAAGATATCCTAAATGGATTTGAGAGTACGCAAAACACAGCGGCTAAACCAACAAAACACTTAAAGAACAGGTTTAGAAGCAAGCAAATGAAAGAAATTGGGATATAAGCTTTTTAATGATCCAATATTTCTTTAGAGTCATTTCCCAACAGCTTCAGAATGGTAATTTGCTTCATCGGTTTCAAATGAGAATCTCTTACCTGGCCTGCTGTATCGAACACTTCTATTCTCGTCGTTTTCCCGTCCACCGTCTCCATCTTTTCGTATCGGCTCTCTAAAAGGTTAAACAAAGCGAGGACATCATGAATCACTTTCAGAAAATAATCAGAAAAGACTCCAATACGAGAATATCAATTAATTAACATTTAGAACTTAATCCAGCCATTTCATTTGCATTGACGTCAAAGTCAAAGACGAGGTTAACGATGTTGATTCAAGACGGGGGCCCAAAAAGTGCAGATTATCCCATCCCGTATGTTATGATTCGGTCAGTGTCCTCGCGTAATCACACAAACTGCGCTGCGCTGTGTAATTTGAAGAATTAATTTCCTGGGATGTGTCTTGCCTGACGTCAGTAAGACGGACCAATTACAAACAGAGAGAAGAAACGGGTGAGTTATAGTTTGGACGAGAAGCGCTGTAAGAGGTGTGTTGACTCAGAGCGTATCGGAGACGAATCAACACCGACCACTTGTCGAAGTCTATAGCAAACAGATTTCAACCCACATTTTCAGACGTGAAAGAGTTAAGGTTCTGAGATCGAAATCGTCTTGGCATGACATCACGACTTCTCCGTCGTTATGTTCACACGGCGCCATATTATTTTCATGATATCAAGTTGCGTGTATACGTGACTGAAATGAACATGAAGAGACGAAATGGAGGCGCATTAAGAGGGAAACAGAGAACGAAAAAAATACCAAACGACAACGCCTCAAGACAAGACCACCTCGTCACGAAAAAAGGGCATAGACTCCAATTTCCGATGATTAAACCAAGGGTTTCTCAAAAGGAACATTTTAAGCCGGAAGAAGTCTAGAGGACAAAGGCGACGAAGAAGCCTCCAGTTAAAGGGGCGAAAGGAAAATCCCGGAAGGATATTCTAGCCTGGGCGGGATTCGAATCTGGGTCATAAAGATGGAAACGGGGAAAGTGTCACTTCGCTTCCTCGTACAACCTCGTTCTCTCCTCAACTGGGAAACTCTGTACACCAGTCATGATGTCACTTGGGGATTAAGTAAAACTCTGTACACACTAGACCCAAGTCACTATAGAAATGTAAGATTCAACTTGATTCTTGAGTAAGCCGATTGCTCAATTGGTGACATGCTTTAAAAGACAAATAAAACTTTGTTCCACTACCCTAATCCTCATAAAGTCAATCATGATTCACACTCTCTATAACAACAAAGAGAGAGAGACAAAACATCCGAGGGAAACAGATTTCTGATCTCAGTAATGAACAGGTTGATCCAAAGCACAAGTTGGCGCGCCGTCACCTGGGCCTGTCTGTCAGATCGTCTGGTGTTTGTTTAATGGATATTGTGGTTAGTCACTCTTATTAATATCTGGATAAATATAACTAAGGATTACACTTAATGGTCAGACGCTACTCTGACCACGCTGTGACACCTGACCAGACTGAACTTGAAGTAGTCCCATCGTCACACAATATAACAAAATTGTAATCTCAAAATATAAAGGGGCGTGTCAATCAATGCAAAACGAAAGTCACAAAACACTAAGAATTGTTACATTGTCTGTTTTGACGAAAATGGTTTCAACAAATCTTTTCTCGTCGATGACAAACCATTAACTCGTTCTACTTGACGCGTCAAACGTTCACGTGACAGCAATTTACCATTTTCAAAAATGGCTATCATAAAATAATTGACAACAACACACGTGGCAACGAAGTGGAGGAATTGAACACCAACAAACGAGCGAAGGTACACTTACCAAGTGTGGGATCATATTCGTGTAGATATCTGCCGCACAGAAATCGAACCGCGATGGCTGCAGAAGTAGAGAGGATGAAAACAAATAACATATTCAATTTCTTATAGTTGAATTGAAGTTGATTTGAATCTGAAATTTGAGCTTTAGATTGTGGATAGAATTAAGCAGGAAACCTCCTTGAATTCGCACAGCGTGACTAGGCCGAAGCCTCTTCTCTGATTTCGTATTCCGTTCCTTGCGTTGTTATTAACAACTTATATCAGGCATACATGTCATGAACGCTTACTATCTGGTGAAAACAAAGCTTTCAAATTAACAACATGACATCATCTAACAACCTTTGTTTGTAATTTAACAATTGAGCAAAGAAATTGACTGGAGCGGGGTTGGAACCTGCGACCTCCGGATTACCTTTTCGTTGCTCTATCAACTGAGCCATAGCCCTACATGTTGGCGGTTTCCCCAAAGTGTCTTTGTTCCTGGGCGCTATAGCTTATAGTCAGAAACCATAAACCCATATGCCATGTAACTTTTCATTATATTTAGGGCAGTAAACAGCCGGCAACTAGGGCAAAGTGCACATAAAATCTAAACTTCAAAACGCACGGTAACCTTTTTTTCAATTAAAATGTTAGCAATCACTAATCAGGTCTTGACTGGGCACCGTCTGGTCAGGGGTGTGACCCTTCATTGGACTCCTGGATTAGCGTATATTCTTATGATAATTCTTTCCCCCTAACGGTAACCCAGTGAAGCACTAGACGACAATGGTCTGAGTTTCATCCAAGGACCCATTATAGGAAGATAATTGGCCCAGATATGAAAGGGGTGGGAGTAGAGGCTCAACGGCTCACAATACTTGTTGACACGCAAGCTCCAGGAAAGTGATATAATTGGGGGCACACTGCTTGTTAAAAAAGGGAAGTGACAGTTACAACTTTTTTGTTGATTTGGAAGTTAGGTCTTGTTAGTTCCAACGTTCCAAAAGTGGCACTAGACATATTGTTGCAATATAATGTCTTCGTGCACATGCCTATAGCGTTATAAAGTGCAGTATGGTCCCTTCATGAAAATGCTCGTTGCGGCCTTTGAAAATGCAAATTGAGGCAGTCTCGCCATTTTCAATCACTTTCGTTGGTAACCATAATGAAAAAAAAAAATATTTCTCAAATCACATCAATTTACCGAGTGTCAAATGGCTAATAGGCCTCCTGCAGCAACCAAATGGCAATAAGTTCTTTAACAGTTTATTTAACTTTGCTCTGTGGAAACTAAAATGTAACTTAACTAGTGAATCCTCCCAGCTCAAAATAATGTTCCCAAAACCGGACACAATTTTGGCGTCGGCAAAGTTCAAAGGGTGTTGTTATTTTTGTAACAGTTAACAGTTAAACCAGCAGACCAACCCCGGTCTATTGTTCAACATGGCGTGGTCCCGTTAGCCTGAGCAACACAAACACATTTTGGTCACTGTCTTTCTACTACAAACAAAGCCTCGTACCGTGGGGCGAGACTTCACAAGCACCGACACCATACCCGAGCCCGGTCAACACTGACTTATCAAGTTGGCATCAACAAACTGTTGGTGTAATGTTCGGATTATTCGCTAAATTCAACACCTGTTTAGACAACTCAGGTGTTATTTTATGACATAATTAATTGCTCTTTTCATTTAGGCCACAGGTGTGCGCAATTGGCGTTCGTCTTTATGCTCAGATGGTAAACTTGCTTGAGAATTTATTTCTTCGAGAACTAGACTTTAAAATCTTCCTGACCGTACTGGAATTTTATGAAATTGTATGAAATTGTATCGTTATTAACATATGTCACTTCGGAATTTGTTCCGGTCAACTTGAACGTAACTTTTACTAATAGGTTTGTGAATTGGTTATCAAGCTCGAATGCACAGAGCTTGACAAAATTTAATTGGGGATCAACTTTCGTCCCCAACAACTGAATATCCAATTTTCAAGGATATCCCCGCTGCAGGGTGAAACCTAACATAATTATGATCAAGTCAAATTAATGGTACCCTGGGCTCATCTTCCAATCTATTGGCCGACCAACCACTAGCTCAGAGTGCCGACAGAACAACACGGACTTATTTTGTCTCTTTAACCACATGCAGAGAATCTTAAAGATTGCTTAAGGATTACAGAAAGGTTGTATTAAACTTGAGCAAATATATGGACGGCGCGCTAACTCCATCTACGCATGCCAACACTTGACTAGCTCATGTGACTGGCTTTCCAAAAAGTTTCCACTTTGTCGATGTCTCAAACAAATATCGCCCTAAGATATAAATCATGTCCAAACACCCACAGGTTGATTCTAAAGATGTAACCAACAATTACAAGTGATCTGTTTGCTGATTGGCTCACTAATTAATGGATTGTTATCACAAGGTGCACGCTGGGCCATGCAGCGGGGACGATCAAAGTTATCAATTTAACATGTCGGAAATGTTTCAGCAGATAAAATAATAATGTGTCAAGCTCAGCGATAGGTGTTCAGGTGATATGATCATAATGACTGCAGGGTAACAAGGTTCAACTTTGGCACAATTTATAGGGTCCAAGTTGGCCTGTTTTTCGTGCCTCAAGTAGCTGCGTGCTATTGGCTTTTGGGGGCAAGTGGTAATAAACTCCAAAATATTGATGATGTTGAAATTAATCTATCTTTTTATTGACAAACTCCACATGCGTTCACTAGAAGTTTGGTGTTCATTTAATTGCACTGAAGACAAAACACACTTCAAGACTGCAAGACCGTAAAATGGGTCTGTGTTGTATGTGAAATTTCTCAAAATTGTGAGAAATTCACAACAAAAAAACAAGTCGGATCTGAACTGCCCATGTGAGCCACACATAATCACATGACATGAAATGCAACAAGCATAGACTATTTTGTTCCATCTGTCATTCAAATAGCAGTCGATGTGGTTTTTTTTATTGCGAAATTTGATTTTTTTTTTCAGGAAATTGATCAGATTTGCTCAGATAATATAAAACCTTTTTAAAGAAAATTCTCGATTCTTACCAGATTTTCCGACGCCGTCGTTCCCGAGCAGCACCAGGCGGAAGCCGTGCGATCCCTTGTCCGTCTTCATCTCGTCCGTGTAGAACCGGCTGAACTGCCTGGCTAACGTCTTCAGTTTCTCCACCGGACTTGGTGGGCTGAGGAGAACACGGAATGAGGACAACACGACGTGATCACAATAATGTCATACTATTAATATAACCATCATCAGTGACCACAGGACTCAAGCACCACCCACCACATCATTAATGCGCGGCTTTATCAGATCGTCTCATCAGCTTGATGAGGTCATGAATACTCACCATGATGTTGGGCCAATATGGAATACTTTATGATAATATCTGCGCAGAACCAGATTAAGTGAGATAGTCGGCCAATGAAATGATCAGGTGTTTTTTTCCTGACACACTCCTCTTTCGATAAAAGTATATGCAATGCAATCAATTAAAAAAATACACATTTCGTGCACATAATGCCAGAAACAGGGAAAAGGTCAAATCCAAAGCATATTTTAATCATTCACGAAGGATTATTACACAAGATAAAATCTGGTTGCAGTTTGAGCATGTAAACTCCTGATCAAACTCCTTTGCGAGGCTCCTAAATTTTGAAAAGAAATTCAAAACTAATTCATGATGCATTTACAGCAAACCAACCAAATTATATAAATCTCCAAACGGTTGAAAAATATCCTTCAGCCGTGGAACATAAAAACGCCAAAATTCAGCGGCAAGTTTGAAATTAAAAACTCACCCGTCATATAAATGTTCAGGCACGTTACTGTTAACCGACGGTGCCATCTGATTGTAAGAAAAATCTATCCTCGGTAAAATCGGTAAAATTCAAGTGAATATCAACTTAGACGATGAGGATGCTCAAAAATGGCGTGTTGAATCGTCGAAAGCTTGCGTGCAACTGAGGCTTTCACTCCTCCTACTCCACTTGTTGACGACTTCTCAAAAACCCACTGATGCCTCAAATCTTTACTTGTGTTCTGTTGACACCACCGTTAATACCCCCAACTATGCAATAAAGTCGTCCCACTGCACAAACAACAAGGTGCTTGGGACGGTCACACAAAACTTTCCAACGGTACCCCCAAAGGGCTAGAATTCCAGCGCGCAACCCTTTTGTTCAACGCTGTGAGCTGGGCCGGGCTTGGGCGCCGCTAGCGCCAAGATCCTTGGCAAGGATTGACAGGTTTTTGTCTCTTCCCCACTCTTACAGCTCGTTAATCAGTAGCTGGAAGTACCCTTATTTTTGCACTTTTACAAGGACGGGGGTGCTGCATCGAGAGGGGTCCTTTTGGTTTTCCAGAAAAGACATGACAGGGGATTTCTAAAGGGCGAACAGAGCAAATCTCCTTGCCCCAAGGGAGACGACGAAGCCAGTCAAGTCACGCGCTACGATCGCCCCACTCCATACGCCCGCTTCGTCCACTCGACCAACCCTCAACGAGTGTCTTCATCCGGATTTGAAGCCATCTAAGGTGGCATATGCTTAACATCACTATCGACGAAGAGGACAAGATCGAGACAACAGGTCTCGAATTATGTATGCGGATTGGAGGGTGAAAAGGGACATGTCTAAAATCCGCCAAGAAAACTGAATTTAGACCATGTCACTTTGATATCCTCTTAAGCGTTTGACGATCCAAATTTATGCGAAGATCTTGCATGTTTGCTTGTATGGTAGAATTTGGTTAATTTAGAAAAATAATGAGGAATGCAACTTGAATTGTTTGAAAAAGAAATAAACTAAAACTCCACTAACTATTAAAACATTTCTTTCTATTGTTTCTTCCAATTTTGATGATGCGAAGAAATTTGCTAGTAAATTTTATCGCAGTGAAAAAATAAGAACGATGATAGAAATCATTGAAAGGAGGCAATAAGGACTTACGAAACACATTCAATTGACTGTTGTATTGAATATGGCTCCAATATATAGTCACCATGACGTTTGTAATTCGAATTTCTGCTTAAACATACAACAATCCTATACTTAATTATACCACGTGATTATACACGTGGTAGTTACCTAACCAGTTTCACAATGGACCTATATAAAAACCCATTTAACCTTAACTAGGAGGAAGGGAACAAACAGAAGCCATAATAACGATATCTCTCAAAATCGAAGTCAATTATACGTTTGTTCCTCATTGTGGTACGCCTTATCAAACACAATCAATCAAATCTGGGAGTAAAAATACACCATAATTCATGGCCAGTTACACAACACGGGATGTAATTTGATTGGCAGTCACCATGCACGTGACTAGCCTTTCGGCGTGAAGCGTTCGAGTTATCCTAGGCAGGTCTGATAATGCATTCAGAACATGAAATGTATCGTAAATGGTGCATAGAGCCACCATGTATACTTTAGTTATAGAAGCAGGACCGAACATTGTTACCTTCTTGATATACATTCATGCTAGAAATGCTCGCTACAAAGGCAGATCAAAATGCGCCAGAATGTAAAAAAAAAACCATATGGTTACTCTCAGGAAATCAAACTGTGAAGCCTTCGACGTCATAATTCGATTTCTTTGATGAAAGTGTGTGGTTTGCTCTGCGGGGGAAGAACAGATTATGGCTAAAAAAAAGTATCTTCTCAGAAATGTTGTCAGGGATGCAAATGAGACCACAAAGATAGACCACGAAATTGCCATCTTTTAGAAAGTGAAGCCCTGTATTTTGTGAATTTTAGACCGCGGCTGAGTTACCTAAAGAGGTAACACATGTGAATGACCGATTTCAAATAACCAAAGCTATTAGTAAAATGCTTGAGTAAATATTAATCTGAAATCTATATTGTAAGTTTTGTTTAGCAGTCTAACAGTAGGCTCCCTATTGCCTGTTATTTCAAATATTTCTTCTAAATATGAAAAGGAGCTTGGTCAAAGGTCCCACACAACTATACCCATCAAACAATGTAATCAAAGAGGCACGTCAAATTCGCCATTAAATTCCATCAGTCAGTTGACGTTTATGGTCTAACGGACCCCATTACAAGTCCTTCGCTTGAGCTGTGAAAATTTTGCACAAAGACGTTTCAAAAGATAGTCGACACCGATTGATCGATTCTGCTGAAATAATGGACACCAGCTTTGCAACCACAAAGGGTCGGTCATAACATAGATGATTATGGAATCATAACCGCTTATATGCATTTGTTCCACAAGGGCAAATCCTTGACGCTAAGGAATATAATATACATAATGGTACCGACTTTAAAACACTTAAAACAGTATAGACACGTGATCATTATGTGACGTGGCCGGTGAACATTCCCTTTTTTAGTTTTGTATGCATGAGAATTCCCTCTTGCGAGGATGTCATACTAGAGCAAAATCGACGTCATCCTTACCCCAAAACTGAGGCTTTCGTCGTTCTAGCGCGTTAACCATTATTACGTATACCCTTCAAATGGTTAAAACTTGTCAGCAACTTGAATAGCCCACTTTGAGAATATTAATCGAGGTACATGTACATCTTAACTTAGAGATTTCAAAGCCATTCGAATTGGATCAAGTAGTTGCTTCAATTTGACAGTGGAACCTCTCCAGCTTTCAACTCAACTGCGTAAATGGGCAGGTCTAGGGGTCTAGGGGTTCCCCCTCCCACTCGCCGACCCACTAAAACCGCCCCTCCCATTCCCCAGGAAAAAAATCACGAGTTGTCATCAGGTTAAGGTTTTAGGGGGGGGGGGCTATAGTACGCACTCTAGTGTATTTGCACCGCACCGTACTACATGTACTTCTGCTAAATAATCAAGACACAATCTAATAAGACCCTTGCTCGTTTGTCAGCACATTTCTCTGCCCCGGGGAATCATGCATTCTCGCTTCAAGTGATTCCTCAGTAAATACCAACGTCGTTTTACATACGGAGAGACTAGCATGCGATCCAACAAGTCGACCAATGCATTAATGAATGAGAATATCAGGGGTCATTCGATCACTAGTCAGTCACGTCAACAAGTCATATCAAGATATAGCCAACTGCTGGTCAACAACGATCAACAGACTTCAGTAGTATATTCATTTGCTGATTAATTGCATTTGACAGCAACGACAGGAAAGAGTTTCCCTTAATGCAAGTATTAGGTGTCTGCCATTACACAAGTGTAATTTCTTTCCGTTGTGCTTTAATCAGAGGCGTGTGGAACGAGTGGGAGGCCACGGGGGGGGGGGTCCCTATATTGAAGCCACGGTGACCCAATTCAACCCCCCCCCCCACCCCCACCCCATTCGAAAACATTCTGGATTATCCTTCCATGATGTTACACTTACAGAATTTCTTTGTATCAGTCCTGAATCTCTCAAGTATATTATGATTTTTTTCACACCCTAGGGGTACATGACTGACAGTATGAGCACCCCTGAAAAATTACCCATGGAGTTTCTACAATCTTGAGGTCTTTGGGCCAAGTCACACATGACAATTTTCACAAGCAACACAGCAGTGGGGGATCTACGGGGTGGGTGGGTGGGAGGGGGGGGGGTCTTACGCACCCCCCCCCTCTTTTGGCCGCAAAAAAATATAGGAAATTATGCAGGAGTAATGTAGCATGTGCCACTTAACCACCCCCCCCCCCCCAGCCAAAGCTGGATCCAACCCAGCCTACATGGAGGTAATCAAATGCATTGCAAACTAATGAACCCTAATTACAAAGTACAGTTTGTAAAAAGCGTGTTTTTTTTCTCGGAACCTTACAGGGAATTAAAATCATTTGTCTGTCGTTTTCTTATAAAATCTAGCTGTATGGAGGAACATGGAGGAACAAGTTGCCTGTAAACTTCCTTGCATTACCGACAAGAGTGGTTTGGGAATCATCCATCTCGATTGCAAGGCACGCATTACACAAAGAGCTTTAAAAGGACAACAAAAATTACCAGGAAATTGCGTCAAACACCTTTTGTGCCGGGTAATCAATAATAAACCACAGAGATGTAGACACCTCTTATTATTGGTGCATTAACTCATCATTCGAAGGAACTTGATTGTTTGGTGTCTCTTTCTTCACTGATCACGCATGCATCTCTGGAGAGGAGGATCGAGTCTGGATTTCTCAGTACAGCAGGCTCCGGCAAAAACCAAATCACAGCAGTCAGCTGTGGATGATCACTCTGTTCTTTCAAAAGCGTGAATTTCACCCCATGACCAACTGAAGTACGGATAACAGACGATTAAGAGTGGAACACTAGACTGTAATACATTGAATGAGTTTGGAAAGAACACTCAAGTTGTTCGATTGAATAAATTTCATATTCACTCATGACCTCCAGAATTGTATACTCATCATTGAAACCAACAAAAGGCAATTCGCAGAACAAAAAATAGCAACAGACAAAAATTAATTGTTTCCTTGAAGTGAAGATAGCTCCATTTTCACCGAAAAGTAATAAACAGACCTTCAGTGATCTAGCTTGAATCACCATGAGAAATATAAAAGACCATCAGCAGAATATCTAAGTGATCAATTCTAGGAATTCCTCGTTCAGATCTGAAAGGCAGGTACTCATTTGTGGTATGCGCTTTCAATTACGAAAGTGAAAGCCCAGTCCAAAGGGGAAAAAAAAAGAATAAATAATAAGTCCATTAGGCTCTCGTGCCTATTATAATAGATTGTTCTGGGAAGCACTGGAATAATGATGACCCGCAGAGTCTTGTTATATTACTCGGAAACTCCTCTGAAACCTTCTTAATCCCTTTAAATGACAAAGTGAAGAGGATGAGATAAGGGCTGGAAACCAAATGACACGAGATGGCGCTGTTCACGACAGAATTATGTGTACACACAATAATAGTATGCGATTCACGCTCCCTGTTCAGTTATCGAAACATACCAATGATAGGCAAAGCTAGTGCTGCTGGTTCCAATCCAAGACAAGAGGTCCAAGTGGTGATCCGAGTCAAATTTTGGCCCATGACAAGGCTTAAGCAAGTCTAATTCACAAGTAACAGTTAGTGAGTGAGCTGAGCCAGGTACCACATGAGGACTGTAGGCTTGAACTCTGGGACCAGCAAACTCACCCTTTCCAATATTTCACTGTACTACTTTCACTTCTTTGCACACGCCTAACCACCGACAGACGGACATTGGAGTTCCGATAGGCACTCGGTATTTTTTTCGTGAAAAAATGAGGGACATCGTACCCGTCCCCGATTAACAAAGTGGGGACATCCCCTCCCAACTCACGACAGAATATCATAGAACCAGGGAACATTACTGACAGAAAGAAGCTGAATATTATCCCCAATCCTTCCAAAATATCCATTTTCTGAGGAGTTTTTTTTTTTTAACAGAAACATGACGGAATGTCATAGGTCGTGCCGTATTATCCCAATCGTCCCATGAGACCATTAACTCTGCGTTTGCTTTTGACAGCATTAAATCACTCACTCTTCCCTTTACATTTTGCCCCGCCCTCAGATAAACACTTGGCTCGTCACTGAATAACACCCCTCGGGTACATCACACACCAAAATAACAACATGCGCGTGAAACGCATCGGTAGAAAAGTTACTCACAGGCATAACCCCAATAATTATTTTTGAGCCCTCGTTCGGATGTTCAGACGTAGTCGCAATGAAGATGAGAGCCTTCTCTCCGAAAATCACACTAAAATGGTTATTGTCACACGTTAGATGAAGATATTTCAAACGATTAAGGTATTTGAACTGTAAGCAATTATTGTCGGCTTACCTGCAGTGTTGTGCGGCTCTTTGAGACGTCGCTATGGCAATATTTCTTCTGATCCAGTGACTTCGTCAGGTGTGAAACTGTTGCATCAAGTCTCTATCCCTAAAACGGGTGATCATTCATTTGCAGGTATCGCACGCTCGAGAGGCGCACCACGCTTGTTATTCCTCTCGGCTCGCAAGAAGTGTGTCCCCGTTGTTTGCTCAATAAGTTGTTTTTCATCGACATAGACCGGGAGCAGCACAAACACGTGCTTCTTCGATGACTCGCTGCCTACGTACGTACGTGCGCCTGTAAGAGTTCGCCCACATAATATACGTGTCATCAGCCTTGCTGATCAGGCAAGTGTATGTGTTCGGCCCTGGCTCAGTTCGAATTCCGCATGCATGATATGCAATTGCTCCCGTCTGATAACGCCGGCCTGCATCCGAGTTGCCGCAGAATCATCAACCAGACTGTGCCTATCATCTTAATGGACCCAAAAGCTATTTTCTTAATCTCGCTAATCATGCGGCTTTTGTAGATGAGTGGTTGTTTTTCTTTTTTCACCACACGGATCAGTCGGTGATGCATGATAATAAGCCAACTTTAAAACCCAAAAGTCAACGCAAAGATTGCACACGCAATAAAAACACGATCCATTTGACTTTATACTATTTGTAAACCAAGGGGAGTTGTTTTTGTTTTAGAATTAATATCTAAAGCTCACATGCAGCAGACATTCAGTGAGCGGCGGATTAGACATCAGCCAAATGGGGGGGGGGGGGGGGGCTTAATATACATACAGTGGAACACCTTTATAACAAGGTCCTTGGGATTTTACAAATTACCTTGTTATAAAAACCAAAGACTTGGGACCTAAAATTGTCCTTGTTATAAGCAGGATGTTGTATAATAGTTTTCTTGTCGGGGTTCGACTGTATTCAGATTATATACTTTAAAGGTTGATTGGTTTCGAAACTCGTCAAAACAGGGAATTAGAAAGTCAGATAACGAGCTGTACTAAAGGTCAACAGTGTGACCGAGTCTCGATAATTGAGACTGAATTATAAAACAAAATCACTATAGTTAAGTAAGAATTGACGAGGACCCTGACATTTTAGTTTATAGGCAAATGTTGGTGGAAAAGTGTAATTTGGGGGCACTCTAGCTATCTCCTCAAACAATTCAACCAAAGCCAACCTTGGGAAAATATGCCAATTAAAAAACAAATATCATTGCAAGGTATGTATTTTCAACATGTAAGTGAAATCCTATACCCTCAACAATTTGACAAGGATCCCTGCATCTTTTCAATTTAAAATGATATGAAATGTATGGCAAAGACGCAAACTTAAGGAATATTATGACCGACATTATGAACACAGCATTTTAAGAACGTCATTATCGTCACCGTCATTGTCATAATCATTGTCATCATAAATATACAAAATGGCTACTGCCCCAAAACTGTTCGAAATTGCCAGAGAGATGGCCCTTATTATAATAGATACCGAAAAACAAATTCCATTTCCTCCCCCCCCCCGCCGAATACCATTAAGAGTGGAGCAAACAGGGTAGAGAGACATTGAAAGACGGTCACGACCACCTCCATCGAGGCTCAACCCCTCCCCCACCCCCACCACAATCCCCTCAGAATTAAGGGAGACATTTTAATATATTTTTATCATTACAATAATATTTGAGTGCCCCTACTGAAAATGAGGCCACCTTCAGTGCCCCCCCCCCGAAAAAAACTCACAATCGCAAAAACCTACAAAGACAACAATCACTAGCACTCTTAGTAACTGTCTGCCATCTGGTATGTATTAAAACTATAAGTGCTGTGTTAAAACCTCAACTTTGTACTTCAATGGAAAAAAATTGTCTTTTTTTTTTGGTGAAGTTTCAAATTGAAAGTTTGTAGGATGTTCCAGAATTTAACATCTTGCAGATGCGCAAAGTGCTTCTGTAAAATCATCATTCATCGTAATTTTTCCGTCAGAGGTTCTTCTGTATTGAATCTCCCTGAACTGAGCAGGATGAAAGGATTTCCTCCCCGTCACATTATAAACATTTCCACATTTACGGAAATATTCACGGTAACCTTTTTAACAGAACTGTACAGTCTCAAAAAAGTCACATAAACCCTAAAATCAGATAAGGGATGACTTGACTGCAAATTACTTTGTCTGGCTCTAATATCAATTTAGCAGGAGGTCGTGGGTTCGAGTCCCACCCGAGTGATTTTTCCAACTTTCACTCGGGAGGTAACACACTGAGTATACGGTGTTTATACGTCGGTGAAGGGTAACACCTAATTTGATTTACATTACCCCGACGCCAAAAAAAATCCATCTTATGAATATCAATTCGGTTAAATTTGGTGGTGAACTAAAATGTCAGGGTTGAGCATTTTTCCATGTCGGTTTAAGCATGGTTTAAGAAACCTCCTTACTTAAAAATCATCCCAGGACGGGATTTTAGGCAAATGGCTTTTCCAAGAAAGTTTAAGCGTGCGAGTTCCGGTGATCTATAAAGCAGAGTGAGAGGGGTAAATGTCAAGATCAATAAGGTCAACGTGGACACGCTTTTAGAGAAAACAGCACACGAAACACCTTCTTGACGTCGGCATTGCCTTCGAGGCCTCTTCAGTTGTTGACCTCTGCCGAAAGGCCATGCACGAGACGTCGCTCGGCTGAAACTCCACCGTTCAAACTTGATTCGTTCCTGATGGGTATTCTTCCTGATACATGTATATCGAGAAGCCCGTTGCACTAAAGCGGCAATTTGATTGTACATGTAGTACATTGAAATACATGTACATGTACATGTACATGGTCCGGTCATGTACGATTCATGTAAATATGTATGCAGCTGTCAATAGAGGGCGCTCTTCCTAAACCAAGCTTACTTTCAACATGTACGTGTGTAAAAGTACAAATGCATTGCATTTACTTGAGAATCATGCTAGCTATTTACTCGAATGTCATACCCTTTGCCATTGCAATTTAGATATAGAGGGCGCACTTTAAAGGACCAGAACTGCATGTAACACACAACCTGCTAAACGCCCCCTCCCAAAAAAATCGAACGCCTGAAGTCAAGAACGGCTAGTTACATGTGCTTATAATTCCTCTTCAACTTCAGTTACGACTGTTCAATTCATCAACATCAGTTCCAACTCCTTGTGCCTATTCAAATCATCATCCACATACACAAGTCTTAACTGTACTGAAATAAAACAAACCACAAACAGGAGTTCTACCTTAAAATATTCTTTATTTAAACTTCCAATAGTATTTCTTTTGTAATATTTACACCTATATACATCATACATGTAGTACCCACAATTTTTTTTTAAACAAGAGGTTTAACACAAGTACTTGTAATGCAAGGAATTATGTTGGAGCAAATTTTCATAAGTACTTTCCAAAACTTGTACATGTATTCAAATTACTATACATGTACAAGTAATTTTCAATACAAAAATGTAGGGAAAAAAAGGAAGCAATTTCGTCAATAGAGCTGTTGATTTGTTCAGTGTAGATCAGCAAATTTGCAAATTCACCCATTTTTTCAGCCTCTTAAAAAGTTTTCAATGCAAACACCTCTACTTGCTTGCGCTTGAGCGCGATGTTGTGGACAATGATAACATTGACCTGCAGCACTTTTCAAGCAAATTCGTTTGCACTCTTTCTCAACGCAACTCAAATCTGCTACTGACAGGTCAAAACAGCTTTGTAGAACTGACTTGACTAAAAGGCTGCATCCAAATTACTTGGCTATGAACTGGCAGTGACGTCACACATATAGAAGCGACCCAGCTCACTTAACGACACCTGTTACTACTGGCCACAGCTAAGTAATTCAGATGCGGCCGCAATTTTGCCATTTAGCTGAAGTCCATGATGGCCACCATGAACCATTCAGGTCTTCCGATACCACTTGCTCACTGCCGAGAAATGGGTCAATTTGAATTCACCTCAGTGGAGTTCAGGGATGATACTCTAGCCTGGCGAGAAATATAGAAAAAACTTGGTACACAAATTAGTATGTCAGACGATTGTGAATGTGCTGTGGTATTTTTTATCAATCCAAAATACGGATGGTAAATTAAGAAACAGAAATACTCAGAGAAATTGAACGAGTACAATTCTGAGGTATAACATACACTTAAAATGCACATATGATAACAAACGTTTACCAAGCACATCACGCATTCTAAGAAACATTAACATGGCAAAAAAATATCCCATGTCTGACTGAAATTTATCCCAAGCAAAGAGCATGCTATGCGTCAAAATGCATAACACAAAAATATATCAACAGAATGCTGGTTAACCAATTTTGTTTCTTTTCATTCAAACAAATTTCGGTAATTTTTAGCTATCACTATCAGCCTAGAGTATCATCCCTGACATTCAAGACATTTATGTCCATTGCTACTTGAGTGAACAAATCATCAAACTCCACTTGAGAATCCCTGGAAAATGTCAAGACTGTTACCTGTGAAAGAAACAAAAGGACACATTAAATATCACCCCCCCCCCCCCCAATTTGTTTGTGGGTGAATCCCGATGATTCTTTAATTCAAAAGTACATGTACACTGAGAAACAACTCTTTTTGGCCAATACTCTGAAAATTTGCTCCCACTAAGCCATTACAATGGTACACAGCAAATATTTTGATCTGAATCATCAAGGATTTGTGAATCAGGAGGAGCACTTGTCAAAGACCCTGCACTTTGAAGATAAACAATTAGAGCAATGAATTTACTACACTTCTTGTTTCTTGAAGTGACAATGGATTCAGCCATGAATTAAAAAGTCCTTGCAACGCCCCAGTTTCCATATTTGGATTCAAGAACAATCCTTAATCATTCAGAATCCATGCTATTTACATTTTATACTGATTAACTATCTCACATAAACAAGAACATAAACAGTAACAAACTTGTTCTCAAAGGTTTTAAAGCATGAATTGAACTTTTTTTATAAGCTGGAAACTGTAACTTTACAGAATTCTGTTTTGTACAATGTCAGCAAAATTGAGAAAAATCATAAAACCAAGAACTTCAAAATTTTGTCAATGACATTTTTTAAAACAAATTTGAAATACATAGCCAAATTAAAACTGATCAACTTCATTTCAAACTTTCTATAATTTGAACCGACACGACCAGACCAGCATTATTCAGTTCAATTCGAAGCCCTTTAAAAACACGCCAAAATCAAAATCACAATTTACACGACATCTATACATTACCTTTACATAATACTACCTTTGTCTTAGAGAGATGTAATGGTTTAGAGTTTCCGAGAACGAACACCCTCATCTTCCACCTCTTACAGGCAAGTATCTCTCTCACCA